ACATGGTGTTTTGAGCCCAACCAGGGACTGGGGCTCACAAACAAGCAGGCAAAGACTGACAGCCAAAGCCTGAACTGGAAAGGAATTAGAAATGACCTGAAGCTGGGAGGGTTAAGAGCCCCAGCCCAAGGAGGGTGAAACCAGGGCCAGGGGCCCAGAACCCAAGAGGTATAAGACGGGCTGGAGCCCAGAAGACAGATCCAGTACAGTGGGCCAAGGGTAGGGGCCCAGCTAGAGAAAACAGACAGAACTGGGAAGGCCGAGGCCCCAACAAAGGTTTGGAGGCCTAAGGAGGCCTAACATTGTAATGGGGGCAAAGTGCCCAATCGGAGTGATAAGCAGTAAAATCCACAAAGCATGGGCACAGTTGTAGGGGCTGAAGGAGGCCACAAATATCTCTTAAGGCAACAGGTGCCCTCATGGATGGGCGAGGAGGGCCCACTTGGCACAAGAGGGGCAGGACTGGGACCAGCAGGGTCCGGGAAGGACTTACTGACCATAGAACGGATAAAGGCTCGCTCCGGGACCCTAAAGCAACTTCCCTTTTTTTTCAAATCAATTAAGCACATCAAGGCATGGCAGGAAAAAGAAATGGGAGGGTACCCAGGGAACCAGAGTGGGGCAGAAGCTGTGTGGCCACCAGGAGATGTGGTCACAGCTGCCCCTGGGGACTCCCTCCTGTCACATATGCATATTAGCCGTTTTGGCTGTGGCTGGCCAGCAGAGGACTGCCCAACATTTCACTTCTTGCACAATATCAGCTGAGGGCCATCTCCTAGTTACTTAGCATCTTGTAGCTAGCTTGATCTGTATAGGAAGTATAAACTCCAAAAGCAGAACAAGTAAACCTACAATATAAAAATCATCCTTCAACAAAAGATATCCCAGAAAATAAAACTGAACGTATAACTAGCCCTTGGGGTAAAGAAGTCTCCTCAAATGCAGAATTCTAAAACTCTATGACACGATGGTTAGGCATCTGAGAATGTCATCAGGTGACCTCCTTAAAACAACAGGATAATAAGTTAAGCAGTTCCTTTCCTTTTCTTTTCTGATTTTACTAATATCAGATTCTTAGTTCTTGGATACTAAGTATTTTGAAAGACGTCCAGTTAACTAATACTGAACAAGGAACGGCATTTTAAATATAAAGAGAGGGGTAACCTCGTGTTATCTTGTGATAACTAAGAGATATAAGCGGAGCCTCAAAATTATGCTTTCAAAAAAATCAATACTTTACAAGAAATGATCAACTAAGGAAAGTGTTCACCCAAAAAGGCAGAAACTATGGTAGGAGAGTAGGTATCCTTCTACAAAAAGGGGTTCTGTAACACATCCCAAGCAAGGCATTTCCCAAAAGTATTCTTCAGAGAATGGAATATCACCTTAATGAGACCAGACAGGAACATAAAACTGAGACAGGTTTAAAAAAAAAAAAAAAAATGGAAATTAGAAACACTGCTAATTAAGATGCTGACAAAAATAACCAAAAGAAATCAAATGATTTTTTAAAAATACCAAGAGCAGAAAGTCTGAGAGAATCAGTGAGGTCTATTAAAACAACAAGTAAATGAAGAGATCATCCAAGAAGAATTGAAGACACTGCATAGAAGATAATGGTTTTTGTAGTGATTCTCACCAGTCTAACCAAGTCGTACTTTTTCCCACCCACAAGTTCCAGGTCTATGGAGCTTGATAAAACTTGATAAAGAATCATATGAACAGAAGAGGGTCCTAGATCAAACAGGAGCAAGGTTCTGAGAACACATGTAGGGCCACTTGCAGAACAACTGAATTATGCACTGCCAACTTCCCCAGAAAACATGTGTGTTTCAATCAGTATGTTACTATTAAGATCCCTGAAACTGACTCTCCTCGGTTTCACAGGAGTCCAAAAAGCTTTTTGTTCAGTAAGCATGATCATCACTACAAAGGTGCAAAACATCTATGACATGCTGATTCAGAGCAACTTGTGAATATTTGCTACCAGTCAACTGCCTGCTAAGTAGAAAGTGGGGGCTAGAGGACCAAGAAAGGATGTGCTATGCATGAGTGGAATGATGATCTAGAACTGAAAATGCTGAGGTAGTGAGAAGCTCCTGGGAGACACTGCACTTAAGATACGATTAACCAGTTAATCGCATCTTAAATAGTCACCAAGCCACACATTCAAGCAATTAATGGCTTGAAAAGAACAGGAAATAAGCCACAAAATGTGTAATTTTGTGGCTGGTTTCCATCACATCTTAAACTGAATATTTGGTAGGGTTCCTGCCACAGCTTGATGCCAGTTACGTGGTAAGGCTCTGAGACTGTCCCCACTGTGGCCTTGGGGCCCACAATCAACTAATTGTCAGTCTTGTCACAACCCAAAGGTGTGATTTTGTTTTGTGTGCGCTTTGGCACCACTGAATTATTTTCCCGCCAATTTGTAGCTTTCTTTGCAGTGTGCATTTCTTCTTTGCAGCACAGAAATGCACTTTGCAAAGAGTTCCCGCCATTCGTATTATAATTCGAGCCCCATTATTGGCTTGCATGAAATTATTCACACGTGGCGGCTAGCGATTGGCTTGCTAGCCATATAAAAGCTTGAGCGGTTTCCGCCCAAGTTGGAGAACTCCGAGGAGAACCCCCACAAGGGAGGACTCCACGAACACCAGGAGGAGGAGACTTCACGTCTCGTGAAGATCTCTAAGCGCTGCGGAGCCTATTGAACCCAGCGTGAATATCAAGGCAATAGGGGTCTGACCAGCCTCTAGCCTCTCCCCGTCGCCGAGCACAATCCTCAACGTATCCCTCTTCCCTGCGCGCATAAGTTCCACGGAGCCTAGCAAACTTCGTGTGAGTCTATTCAGAGCTCTTTTCTTCGAGTACTTTCTTCGGTTGGCGCGACGGGTTCGCGGTTTAGAGCCTCCAACTGGATGGGCTAGAAGAATGTTCACGGGAAGGAACTCTAGTCCGCCTCTCTTCTTTTCTATCTGTAACTGCAACTCAAGCAAGTTTTCCTGCCTGCACCGCGACCATCTTTGGTGTAAGTAAATAATCTTAAATCAACCATTAAGTGTCCATGACTAATTCTAGCGTGTCGCCTGTTTTCTCCGACCCAGCGTGCCCGGGCTGCTGGCCACAGCCCGCACGGCGCAAAAAAGGGCCCGGATCGGTCCCGGCCTGCACAAGTCTGAGCACCAGGATGGCACCAGAGTCTCCAACAGGCTCTGATGCAGTCTCAGGGCTGAGAACGCAATCACCTGAGTGTTTGTTCCAGGCTTGGGACCCCATCTGCCGCAGTGCAGTCCCAGGATTGAACCCCACAATCTGTCACTGTGGGTCCCAGGCCCAGGATCACACTGGAGTCTCCAACTGGTGCCACAACAGTCACTGGGCACTGGGCTGGAACTCTCAATCAGCTGATTGCCAGTTCCAGTTTCCAAACTACATCAGTTCACCAGGCACTGATCCTTCTATTTACCAGTGTAGGGGGAGCCCAGGATCATGATGCCAGTGTCTCCCTGCACTGGCAAGTTGTAACGGTGCAACTGGGATCTGATCTCCAATACCAAAGTCATACATCCTGCCATGCATGTGTAGCATCAGGGAACAAATCCCATTATATCAGTAAGTGAACATGTACCAGGGGCAAGGAATTGTCAGCACAGCCTGGATACAGACATGTGTCCGTGCGAGTGTGCACTAACACACATACATCCCACTCCCTTACCCTCCCATCCCCACCACAAACCTGTGCTGGTGGTCCTATATGAACTACTATTGCTTCTTGAGGCCCAAACAGTTTGTGCTACGGGGTAATTCTTCTACAATCTTGTAATCCAAACAATACCTAAAACTGATATACCATACTTACCCAAATCCAAGATGACTCTGAATTTAAGAGGAGTCCCCCCCAAATTTTTCCACATATAGAATCTAATTATTGTCTTAAATTCGCTCAGTGGGTAAAGCAGTAATGGGGCAGGCAGGAGGGAAGCAGTACAGAGGACAAGCAGCCTGCCCCCTGCCTCCTACCACCACTTGTCTGCCCTGATGCCTGCCCCTCTGCTACTTGCCCTAGCCCCCAATGAAAGCACACCTGGCACCTGCCCACTACTTACCCTCCAGCCCCACTACAACCCAGGGCTCAGCATATGTGCTTGCCCTTTTCCCAGCTCCAGCAGCAGTAATTTGCCCCAGCAGTAACTTGCCCCAGCCTCTGGCCAGTAGCAGCAACTCCAACCTAGGCTCCAGCTAGAGTTTCCTCCACCTCAACAGCAGGTCAGGGTCAAAACAGCTGCACCAGCCATCTGCCCCCCTCCCAAAGCCTTGTACTCAGATCCAAAACAAAGGGATTGCCTCCCCCGCAATGTTAAATGGGGGGTCCTAGTCTTAGATTCAAGTAAATATGGTAATATAGTCAAGCCAGCTACTGAAGCTACTACATAACCAATACAAATTCCTTGATTATATGTGAACCACTGAGGAGCCTGAATTCCACTTAGGAAATGTGCTATTCTGCACACAATAATGCCATCTTCAAGATTACCCAAATACATTTTTATACAGCATACATGAACATACCCAAAATACTTTCACTGGCCAGCAATGGACCTTCTAGTGGCAACTCAATGAAGTCAGTATCTAGCAACAATCCAGCAGACTTTACAACGTGCAGCATAAGGAGAAGTCAATGTACACAAGTGGAGTTTAAATGAAAATGCAAGAGAGAGTTTTACTAACTGAAGCATTTACCATAGACATCTGTATGATAGTGGCGCCAGAATCTCTTATTTTTGCTAGATCTTGCATAAACAAGTAGACTCAGGGTAAAATTCTCACCTACTAAAGGCAATGGAAGTTTGTCCACTGACTTCAGTACAACCAGGATTTCACTCATGGCATTTCACAATATGTACTTTGCGTTAGCATACAAAAGATCTACTGGGACTTAAATTGTCCTAAAAGTATACAAGTGCTTTTACTTTTAAGACTTAATACATGGAAATTACCTTTGCCTTCTCTGGGTTTCTTCTTTATACCCAACTCTGGAGACCCATTGGAAATGGCCGACTGTTGGGTCTTTGGTTTTCGGCCAGCTGCACATAACAATAAAGAAAATAAGACACATACATATACAAAAATATGCAAGTTTATACCTGAGCTTATACCTATGCCTGCAAGAAACTATTCAACTGAATCGCGTTACTACCTTATAATAATTGTGTGGGCTACATGATTATGCAGTAGCCTAATTTAAACGTATTATTGCTAAGATCTCTCTTTTGAAAGTCACAATTTGTTAAACTGTGCATTTCGTAGGTCAATGTTAGTCAGCTGTAGGCAAATTCAACAAAGTTAAAGCAAGCACTAAATATATAAAGTTAAACCTGTATACATTTGCATTCCTTTGTTTACAGATAGTAATTTTATATAAAATTATTAAAATAAAATTATTGCATAATTTTATTGTAGACTAAAACTAAGGTTGCTCAGATACCCAAACTCTGGATTAATATACCCTAATATGTTGGGATGTTTGTGAAGTCAACCAAAATTAGTATCTTTGTTTTATATTGCTTTATCCTTATGTTTTATTTTCTTCAATATTACAGTGATACATTCCATCTTAAACCATTTTTTGGTCTGGAAATTTTTAGAAATGTCTGTCCATGTGTGAATGATGTTGATGTACATCAATGAAAACTGCTATGCTACGCATTACAACAGGAAATAGAATCTGCTGCTATCCTCTGAAAGCAATGCCTGTCAGCAGAACTCCTGTATTTAGAGTTTCATAGTTTTAATAATTACATATTTGCTACATTTATTTTCCATGCATTACTACCTTGCTAAATAGCATTTATTTTGTTAAAGTGTGTCAAGCAGACAAGATGCATCTTCCTGTTTTAATAATGTTTTGTTACATTTTATATAAAATAATTATTTATACATGCATAATTCAACAGTTATAAAAAACGCAGTATGTCAAATATTATAGTTGAGGCTAATTATGGACAACTACTATCCAAGAGAGTCACGTTTAACCACTGCAGACTCTACTGTAGTCTTCTCCAAGACTGTTTTGTGTCTCTTGCTAAGATGTGGTAAACGGCATTCTAGGGATTTGGCAGATACCACAAATATACCTTCCACGGCAGAAACAAAGCACAGTATCCTTAGAGTATTTTTGAGGCCCTATCCTAAAAAATGAAGCTACTGATACCATGGTTCAGACACCTGCTTCAAAAGAAGAAACAGCAAATTCAAAAATAAAGAGGGGACTAGTAAAACAAAACTGAAAAAGTAACGAACAAGAAGGAAGTCCCATTCTCTCCAAGAATACAGATAACATGACAGTTATTCAAATCTTTGACAACTCACCATTCAAGTTATTGGCATCAAAAACTTGGGCAGTGCAGAAGATAACAGTGCCAAGTTACCTTTACTTACATAACCCAAATTTGATAAATATAAATGTTTACAATTATACTACAATTTTGGAGGGTTGTGGATTTATTTTTCACTAGATATTAAAAGTGACAAAACAGCTGGCCAGAATACCATTGGTGTAGCTTCTAAGGAACTCATTGCAGTTTCTGGCTTTCACTGAATAATTATTTCTGCCTCAAGGTTTGGACAACAAGAACAACTGTGTATATTTAGTGAATAAACCATAGTTGTTGATGGCAAAACTGGAAGTTCAGTTACAGAATCTTAAGATTCTGATGGAAGCTGTGAACCTCAGCCCAAGGAGACAGAAGAGAATGTTGTTTCAACCTACAAATGCAGTGTCCAAAGTCCCACCACAAACACCCTCCTGTGAAACACCTGGTGATAATGTGCACACTACAGTTCTTACCCCCAGGCAGTAATTCCAGATGTTCTCAAGAGTTGACATTTCCTCTCATGGTGGCCTAGAATTGTAGCTTTTGAATTATTTGGAATTTAAAATAAGGTATCCATACCTACTCTAGTACCTTAAAACTGGTTTTTTTTTTACATAACTGTAAATGCCTACACCAAAATTCACAAGTTTCAGTTAAAAAAGAAAAATGTATCAAGAAAATCAGGATTCTGTTTACCAAAATGCAACCCTATCCTTTTTTTCAAAATTCCTTGAAATTCAAGTTACAGATGATGCATATTTCAGAGAATTCATTTTTATACATATAAATTTTGTCTGGAATCCTTTTTTTTTTCCCCCAGTCTTGCTGCTCCTCACATTTAATTCAACCCTCTTCTTTATCAGTGAACAATATTCTTTTGCTATGCTTTCCTCCCTTATTTTGTTGTCTCTTCATTCCTTACATGCCTGCATTTCAGAGTTCATTTTGTGGGCACTAGCTTATAAACAGAGAATTAGACATATGCTAAATTATCACCATCTAAACCAGACCCCTTTGCTTACAGTACTATGCACTAGTGATGAAGTTATATTAACACCTACAGCTTTAAAATCAAAGGCTATATTTACCTTTTTTCTTTTTCATTGGCTCATGGATATCAGGGGATGTTGGCACAGGAGATGTGTCCATTGGTTCAGAGTCCTCAGTTGATACTTCCACCACAGTCTCTGTAATCACATCTGGCCTCATAGCAGCATGGATAAACTCTGGGGTTGACATACAAGGAGGGACAAAAACTTCCACTAAAGAAAAGAAATACACCTGGTAAAGTCTTTAACCAATTACCTTACTGTATCTGACATGGATTTATATTAAGAAAATAATCCCAAAGTGTTTAAAATGACCCAGGGAAGAAATTTTGCAACCTTATACAAGCTGACATTTGAGAGTTCAATCCAGCCCCAAAACTTGAGCATTTATATTTATCATATCCCTGCATAAGGGAAATGACCGCTCTTTAAGTCTATCACACGCAGGTAGTTGTGAAATGACCCGTTCCTTTTTCAAAATAGGGAAAAGGCACTGAATTTCTTATGTTATGGTTTAAAGTGCCAGCACTTCCATCCTACAGACCTGCGAAAACAGGAGTTTCATTTCATCACAATTTAAAAGTCTGACCTAAAATGCTACATACCATTTAATCTAACCAAAATGTTATACATGCATGGAGGAGAGTCCTCCTACCCCTACTTCAAAATAATAAAATATGAAGCTGTTTAAAATGCAAAGTATTAAAAACAGTAGTTTATCCAACAAATTATTTTTAACAATGGATTTAAGAATGGCTTAAATTGCTTAAAAAATCCTCATCTGTTACCTTTCAAAAGTGCCTGCTTTCCTCATGTTGGCTTCTACGCTCACTAGTTATCAACATTTACAACATGGCTCATTCCCAGTTGTCTCTACTAGAGCCAGAGCTGTCAGCACAGATGCTGCCAACACTATTTCATAATAAGCTCCTATTTTCAGCTGCTTACAATTTTTGCCAAACTTCTACTTTTCAGGCTGAATTTTGTTAGAAACAAGGCTAAGGAAAGGCATGATATTTTACCCATGTAAAAAAAATCTAGATACTTCTCTTGGAGACAAAGTTTCCATATCTTAAAGTATGGGTAGGGCATTAGCCTTTCAAGTATTTGCCATCCTCAGAAATCTGGCAAGATCTGGCTAAATCAAGAGCCTCTGAATTACTTCAGTTTGCTAATCACGAATAGAAACTTGCTAGAATTCCACAGTCACATTCCCTGAAGATTTTGCTTCCACTTGGCATGCTCTAACCTAGTGCTGAGGAGGACTTCTGCCTTTTCATTTCCAGACACCTACAGGCAGGATGAAACACAGAAACTGAGATCAAGAAGTTTGTTTCCACCATGCTATCACCTCGCCCCGTGCTTAACAGAGCAGGAAAAACAATGGTTCTCTGAACGCAAGAAGTAAGAGTCAGGGCTGGGGGTGAAAGAGCAGATGGGGACAAGATGCCTGGGACAGGGAACTGGGATTGAAACACCTTGACTGGCTGGGAGTGACTGCAAGTGGGGAAAGGGAAACAACGCTAAAATGAGGAGACAGAATGCTGGAGAACGGGGAGTGGCTGGAACTAAAGCACTAGGACTGGGTGAGCAGCCCAGGAAAGGTGATGGAAGCCAAAAGGGATGGGGTAAACACAGGAGAAAGAATGGAGGCTGAGGGAGGAAGGGATCAAGAGGAGACATCAAGCAAGGATCCAGGAATAAGAGGGAACTGAGCTGAGCTGGTAAAATAGAGTGGAGATAAACTGGTTGAGCGGTGATTATATGGAGGGTAGCAACTGACTTTGTGGCCACAGGGGCAGGAGAACAAGGAGTAATAATCTCAAACTGCAACAAAGGAAATTAAGGTTGGATATCTGGAAGAACTTTATTACTATAAGGTTGGTTAAACACTGGAACGAACTACCTAAAGAGCTTGTGGAATCTCCATCCTTGAAGATGTTTTAAGAGCAGGCTACACAAATCTACAATGGTTTAGACAGTGACAATCCTGCCTTGATCAGGGGGCTGGACTAGAACACCTGCTGGGGTCTCCTTCTAGCCCTGCTTTCCTATGATTCTAAGCCAAGGATTGAGGGACGGAAAGGGAAGGGAACTATAAACAGCTACAAAAGAGTGGTACTACAGATGGGAGAAAAGAAGAGTGGGAAAGCCTAGGAAGTAGGGATGGCTGGATAAGGAGAACAAAACTGGAACAAGCAGCACAGGGGCAGGCTGGTGGGAAGTGGGCCAAACTCATTTACCTCTAGAACTTGGAACCGAACCCAAGATTCCTGCACCTTACTAGTCCTCTGACATCAACAAACACTTGAGAAACCCCACTGGCAACGTTTCACATCCCCCTCTAGGACTGGTAATAAAAGGATAATATCCGATTACAGGTTTTAAGATACTCCAATAATTTGAACAGGAGAAGTCATTCAGTGGGGCCCAACCTCTTTTGGCACGTGTGCCACAAAGCAGTCATGCACTGTCTGCAAATGCCACTCTGGTCCCTTTCCTCTGCTGGGTCTGTTGCTCTGCTTTTTACTTCCTGCCTTATCTGTTACTGTGTTGCCCACCCCCCATCCACTCTGTCAAGTGCTACACAAAGAGCTTGCCCGTGCCACTTGTGGCACACATGCTACACACTGGCCGCCCCTGACATCAAAGTTCCCGTGCCTCAGATACCCCACACAGGTGTTAATGATGTTGTGACATGATGGAATTTTTAATTATTTTAAATCTTAGAATAGTATATATAGGACACATCAAGGTGCAGAGTCAAGTTCTCAAATGTCAGAAAATGCCAAAACTAAGACTTCCCTTGATACCATCATACAGACCTCCCATGCACATCCATTATAATAAACAGAATGCATACTATTTTTCAACACAAATCATTGCTTCATTCTGTACACCAGACTAGGTAATACTCCTATAATGAAAAGCTATTTGTAATTTTGTTTTCTTCCCATTATTCAGTTCACAGGCCCAGACCATATTTATTGCATGCAACTAAAATCCTGCTTTGAAGGCAGAATTATTAATTTCTTTGTTGGCTCTTCAATAATCACAGTTACTGTCAGAGTGCCTGAATGTTTATGAATTTCCCAAAATTTTAGTGAGATAATGGGGTGGCATCATGGTCACTTTTCAAATGGGAAACTCAGGCACGACTAAGGTCAAAATTAGCCACTAATTCTGTGTAATCTGATTTCTCACAATAGTTAATATTATACAACACTTCATATGTTCGAAGCCCAGCTCCCATTGCCTATAATTGAAGTTGTGACTGTTCAGCACTTCTGCAAATCAGCCCCTGCAGTTTTAAGTGAAGCAGCCACAGTTGATGACCACCTGCGAAGTGTTTGATTAAGCATCTCCTTAGCATCACAAAGCAATTCTCTGGCAGATGCAGGGACAGGACAGCATTCAACTGCTGTAACCACAAAACTATCTTTTAGTTTCCTCCAATTCTTTACCTCATTCACTGCACACCTTCCAACTTCTGCAACAAACAGAATAGACAAAAGGTTCTTTTACTTCACAGGCAACCTTAATTGTAGCATTTTCTAACATCTGAATTCTTGATTTTGTTATCTAAAATATGCTCTTTTAAAGTAGTTTGCATGTAGTGGTATCATGGTATCAAGGGCCTAAATTTTCTGGGCTCCAAAACCAGTTTCCATTGACATCAACTGGTATGTGGATATTAGCACTTCTGAAAATTGAACCCAAGGCTTTTACAAACACCTTAGTCTCCCATCCATAATAAAGTGTAAAAATCAGATCGGGGTATAGGTTCTAGCCATGTCGGTCTAAGGACATAGGCAGACAAGGTTCTTCAGATAAATCTGCTATCTGTTATTGGACCAACTAAATCAGATCAGAATTCTTTTTCAGAAACAAAATGCATTTTAATGAGGCAAATAAGAGCTCAGTTTATGTCCTAAATTAACCAAAGGATTGTTTAGATATCCATAGATGTTTGAGTTGGAAGGGACCTTAGCAGATCCAAGTCCGATCTGATTGGAATAATAATTTGATTGTTAATAGTTTAATTTCACAGCTTGCATGGGTTAGAGTTCACACTTTCATTATCTGAATATAATTTGAGTGGTGTTATGCTGTGGGACAAGGTTATTTCAATAGCAACTTCAAGGTGAAGAAAAGTATATGCCAACTCCTAATGAAATCATTCTTACTTTTTAAAATCGAGACATCTCCACATACCATTCTGCAATACATTGTAACTGGATGTTTCAGGGGTAGGCAATGTTTTTTGGCCAGAGTGCCAAAAAAACCATAATGTCTACCTTGTAAGGTGCCAGAGTGCCGGCATGCCACAAAAACAAAACTGTTTTTCTTGTTAAGCATGTTGCGATGAGAGCGGAGAGAGGAGCAGGGAAGTCAGGGCAGGCAGGCTGGCTTGGCCAGGCCCTTGGGAAGGCTGCAACTGGAGAAGAGCTGGTGTCAGGAAGAGAGCGGGGGCTGCCCCAGGGCTTCACAGATTCGAGTCACAGCAGGGGGCTCAGCAGTGCCAGAGGTGGGGACCAGCCAGCCCGTGCAGCTCTGTGGGGATGGGGCACAGCCACCCTGTCCACGAAAGGATGCTGCCTGGCTGGGGCAGGACACCAGGCTCAGGGAACTCCCTGCTCCGTCTCTGTGCCAGCCAGGTACATTACAAGTAGGAGCTGCAGCTGTAGGCTGTTCCCTGGGCTCTGGGAACAGCCACTGCAGCCGGTGCTCAGGTCCGAGCCAGCTGGGAGCCTGCAGCGGCTCTGTGCAGTGCCTGCCGCAGCCCTGGCCCCTTGAGGTAAACTGCAGGTGGGCAAGGCCGGGACCCGGGCAGGCTAAGGCAGCCACGGTGGCTGTTCCCAGGCTCCAGGGGGCTCCCACGGCCAGGCCCCTGCACCAGGGACAGCTCTGCCCTGCCTGCACTGTGCCCAGCATGCAGGGAAGCTGCCCCACACCAAGCCTAGCATCCTGCCCCAGCCAGGCAGCATCTCCATGTGCACAGGGTTGCTGCAGCCCATCCCCGAGGAGCTGCGCGGGCCACGCCAGGCCCCACCATGGGTGCTGCTGGGCACCCCCGCCTGCCCACCCACCACACCTCGAGCCCGCAGAGCCCCAAGGCAGCCCCTACTTCCCTCCTAGCCCCTGCCTTCCTAAGGGCCCTACCAGGCTCGCTTGCCCACGGTGCCTCCCCCCACGCCACCCAGACCCTGTCCCAACTGCCCAGCCCCAGCACTCAGCACCTCAGTGCTGCCCCAGGTGGGACAGGGTGTCTGCCTGCCTGGGCAGTTCCCTCCAGGGGCCAGCCCGGCTGGAGGGGGGAGGCCGGGGGCACCGGGCGGGGACAGACAGCATCCATGCCTGCATTCTTCTGGCTCCGCCCCAGGGCCTGCCGTGGCGCTGGGACTTGTGGCTGCACAGTCTGGAGCAGCAACTTAAAAAAAAAAAAAAAAACCCAAACACCCACAACAATGTGTGTGCCTCCCAGCGCACCAGGAAAAATGTCTCCGCGTGTCACTAATGGCACGAGTGCCGGGGGTTGCCGACCCCTGGGATATGTCTTTCTAAAATGGAAAAGCAGATCAAAAGGTTTTTTTCTTGGCTTTAACCTAACTATACATTTTAAATTGCTAGATCAGCACCAGTTAAAAATCTATGAGAATGACTTGACTATTCCATGGGCACTCAACCCACAGGCCTGCACAGCCACATCAATCCGGCCTACGAGGCTCCCCACAGGTCTGGAAATTTGGCAGCAGGCAAAGGGTGGCAGCAATTTCTGCTCCCCTGCTGCCAGATTTCCACTCGCAGGGAGCCCCATGGGCTGGGTACAGAGCCTGATCCTGGCATGCTGGGTCAGACAGGGGAAGAGGCAGCAGGGCCTGATCCCAGAGCGCTGTGTCGGGCAATGTGGTGCAGGACCCAATCATAGGTTGCTGGGCCGGACAAAGACAACATGGCATGCTGGGTCAGGTGGAGGCTATGAGGCCCGATCCTGGAACACTGGGTAGGGTGGAGCTGGCATGGGATCAGGTGGGGCATAGGCCCGATCCAGGTGTGCAGGGATGGAGGAGGCAGCGAAGGGATGGACACAGTGCAGTACAGGGCCTGATCCTGGCACCCAGGGCCCAATCGTTCTTGCAGACCAGCCCTTTGCTATTCATCCAGCCCAGGGGGCCTAAAGAAAGAGCACTATTGGACTACTCAAATAACTGTCAATACAGACCAGTACGTGAAACTAAGCTGGAAGCCAAGCTCACTAGCACAAGTTTCATTTTTGGTCTCAACCAAGTTTTATTTATGAATTTAGCCAGTAAGGACATAGTCTTTATTAAAAAAGGGGGAAAATATTATGTATCTAATCGCATGCAACCAAAATGACAAACCATTTTTAGAAAATAATGGGGGTACTGAACAGAACACCACCAACAAAAAAGCACTACTCGCAGCAGCTTGAGATGGACCTTAATGCTTTTGCTCCTCAATTTACTTGAAATGAGAAGCTTTATAAACATTCCATCTGAAGGAAAAACTCATACTAATTAAACTTTTCAGCTTTAATCATAATGCAACTTATTAAAAATAATGACCATTCCTATTGCTTGCTGGGAAACAAGTATTGAGTAGAGACCTCCCACCAATTAAATGAACTAATATTGTAAGACTGTGCTTCAGGAAAATGAAGTGTTTTGGAAAAAATCCCCTTCCAGGATGAAAAGTACAAGTAAAGCTTCACACAAATGTAGGATCCTAACAAAAAACAACAACAAAACCTTTTGTGTTAAACAAACTTCTTTTACAGGTACAGGTGTTTTTTTCTAAAACAGTGGAGACAGAAACTTTGCTTATTCAGTAAGGACTTGTAATTCACATACCAGGACTCTTAGCATCTCTCAAGCAGGTAGGAGACTCCATATGAAGCAAGGCCTCTGCAGCTTCAATTGTCTTATCTGTGCAATGCACATTGCTTCCATGTACAGATGCTTCCACTACAAAAAGATATTACAAATTAAAATTAATATCAGAATAATTGTAAGTTAAAACTATTGCTGCACAACAGCCTTATAAATCCAGTATGCTGGGCTGTCTTACAAGTTGAAACCAAATGAAGTTTTTACACCAGTGGCCCCCACCTCAAAATAATAAAATGGTAGGCAAGTGACAGCTAGAAACTAATGCCCTTACTTAAACAGATCTGGGTTAGTTAGTGAGCATGCAGTTCCTGGTGGATGCCCAAGGGATTCCAAAAACAAACCCATGAGGTTTGACTTCCACCTCAATTTTAAGAAAAAACAGACTAGACTTTAATGAGGATGGTTATAAATTAATACAGAAGTCAAGGAAAGTAGTCACATTGCCAAGCTTTAGCCCATTAAAGTCCTATAAAGTCACCTAGTAATGTCTGCGGTAGAACAAGTAAACACGTAATTTAGTTTGCATAATAAATGTATTTGGTTCCACTTCCGGATACTAAAGGCAATTCACAGTTGAGTTTAGTGTTTTTTTTCCCACTTGGCTTTACCCTCTCTCTTTTTTTTTTTTTAAGCGACAGAAATGTGGCTTTACACTCTCTCTTTTTTTTTTTTTAAGCGACAGAAAGGAAACAACAAGAGTTCTCACAAAAAGCAAGTTATTAAATAAAAAGATTAACTTTAGGGAGTAGTGTACATTAGAAATTTTAACCCAACAATGAACACATTAGTTAATATCAATGCTGCATCAGCAGCATTTTTTTAACGCAAGCTGAATTCTGATTTAAATACCATTATATTAAAGACCAAATTCTCTGTTCCTCTCCCTAGAGCAAAGTTTTTAACACTAGCAGCTCTAGAAACACCTGTTGCCCATCATCCACACACTCACCAAGGTACCCTGTGACTCTGCAGTTACTCTTGCCATTTATGGAAATCTGCTCAAAGCTGAACTGTTCCAGCAAGGCAGCCAACATCTGAGTAAATCTATCTTTAGAATAAGCAGGGTCACCTATCTCCAGTGTCAGTGAACTAAAGAAGAAATAAGTCTGTGCTAAAATTTAAGACACCTATCCTTTTCTAGGAAACAATTTGATATGCCTTAACTAAAAAGTAGGAGAGAAAAACAAAACTATGTAGTGTTACTTCTGGCAGAAGAAACTGTTCAGACACACCCCAACATATTTATATTTACATGACACTCAGAAAAAAGCCCCACATAGTTTTTGCCATTAACTAGAAGCCAGGCTAAGATTAAAACATTTACCAGATGCATACTACCCAGAAGCTGATAGAAAAAGGGCAGAGAGGCATGTACCAGCAAGGTCCTGGTTCAATGCCATACCTCTGTGAAAAAAACTGCTCCCTACCAGCTGGCTACTAGGATTTCTACCCCTGGCATGCTATTTAGCAGTTGTATCTTTGGAATAATAGGTGCCTGACAAATCTGACATTTCATCCTGACCCTATAGTGGCCAGAAAAAACAAAGGGCCTCCCCCTGGGCATGGCAACTGTTCTGAGCAGGAAGAATCTCTATTACTTTTCCATTTTCCTGAACTCAAGCAGTTGCAAGGGATGGACATAAGAATTCCCTAATACTTTCCCAGCTGCAATTTTTGGATCCCACTACCTCCACTTCTGCTGCAGATACAGTCACTCAAGCAGCAGCAGCAGCAGAATCAAAGTGCTGTGATCCTGACACTTCTGGTGCCCAGAATCCTGAAGAGCTGCAATGAACCTGACCAGTCTTGCACTGGCCCTATCTACCTGAGCATGTTCTGTTTACATAAAAGCTTCAATTATCTGGAGATTGATGGCTCTCACTCCCTTCACTCTACAGGCAGAACGTTCCACTCATCTATGGGGAGTGGAAATGCTGTTGTCAGTATTTATACAATATCAATTCTATACCAAATCTTGAAAACAGAAGTTCCAAGTTACTGTGAATACAATAAAACATAAAAAACCCACAATTTTCAAACATCTCAAAATCATTCTGGCATTTTTCCCCAATAGACAACTATGAACTAGACCCAGTATATTAAACACCAAATGAGTACCACATCAGCCAGAGCTACTCCATGAATCAAGGGAGCTACATGCCTCTTTGACTTAGTTGGTCATTCTGCTAGTTTAAAAAAATGACAGACTTTTTATAAACTCTTTCCTAGCTCCAGCCAGGCACTCCATGTGTAAAATTTCTAAAAGCATCTAATTTATGTTTCTAACACCCATTGAAATATCACTCCACATGGATGGAGTTTCTGTTTGTTTGTTTTTGCTTGTTTGTTTTTGGTTTTTATCTTTGTTTGATAATGAAAAGTTGCACATTTTCCACCCAAGTTAGTTCATTTATGGTGGAGTAATATGATTGAAAAGCCCATTTAAATATTCCTTAAGATAAAAGCCACTATAGAAGCTAACAATCACCTCTCCTAGAATTCAACAGAGCTACTTCATGGTTTCTAGAGCTTTAACAAGACTAGCATTAAAAGGGCTTTTCAATCATGCTAAGGTAACTCAAGTGAAACAATTGGATAGGGGGAAAAACCCACAGCAAAACCATAGCCTATATGGGTAAGTACATATTTTCATCAGTTAATACCCAACAGAAAACGTGCCCAATCTCCTCTAGAAAGCACAGCACAAGACTCAGAACCAGAAGGAAGAAAAGTAAAATGATATAAAATCACTTTTGTACCCTCCAAAGTAGAGGCTGCTCCAGGTGTTTGGAATAATTCTCTTGAGAGACTCTCTTAATAAGCAACACAGCTCCATCTCTGCAGTGTTGTATGTTGGGGCCTTGCCTATTTTATTTATCTATACATTTTTGGCAGCTACAGCAATCCCTCGATTCGAGGATGCTCTCTACCATGGTTCATTGATGGGTATGATCTCCTCACCTCTCTCACACCCAAAACCTAGTTCTAACCCAATGCTTAACACTCTCCTCCCCATCAGGCTTGTAAGTGGTTCTCAGAAAGTCGCCTTAGAAATTTCTTCCAAATTTCTGAAAAGCAAAGATATTTTGGTAATATCTTTTACTGAATTAAATAGTTGGAAGATATGTTAAACAAAACTCAAACTTTCAACACTCAAAGCCCACTACTTCTGGATATCCTGCATCAGAGGAATCCTTCCTGGGTAGAACTAGATCCTTTAAAGACTGCACCTGCAGCAACAAAAAACAAAACAAAAAAAAATCAACCTTTTTTTCCCCCAAATAAAATACACCCTGTGGTACAACACAAACTTGAACAAATTAAAAAGAAAGTAAAGGAGAAATATTTACAGCTACATCAGAGTTACCTATATGAGAAATATTTAGAATAAGGTATCAATAAAATAATGGTGAACTGGATAGAAAGCATCATTGATCAGGGCCAGTGACCACAGCTTTGACTTTTCAGAATTCACAGAAAAAAGACCAACTCCAAACTGAAAGCATGAGAACACAGGTGGGCTAGTTTTGACAAATTTCACTTGGATCTCTTCCACATTCTGAAAAGTCTTCAATCCTCAGAATATGGTCAATGGCATGACAGAAGCAGAACCTGATGAAGCGTCATAACAAAAAAGAGATTTCCTGGAGATTCTGGCCAAGTTTTCCTACCAGGAGAACAAGCCTGAGAGAATTCTCCCAGATTATCTGAATGTGTATACACAGCCCCAGTTGGAGAGTGGGGAGGATCTTCTGCCAGACCTTCTCAAAACAGCAGACAGAATAAGTAAAGCAGGTAGCAGCTCTTGAAGATAACAGTATAAGGAAGGGCAGTCCATTATCTAACACTCCTTCTTGCCATCATCTTTACATCACCACATAAAGGTGGTAAGAAAAAGAAAGATCATGGATGTTCCAACTAAATCCAAGATTAGTCATAAAAAGCTACACTGTGAAGTGAAATTTAAGGTGCTGCACAACAGCCTTTCAACACCAATGAAAACAGGCTGTCCTTACATTTAATATACTGACAACCTCAACCTTTAATGTTACAACATATAACTATGCTGTGGTAAGAAAATAACTTTATTTTCTAATTAAGAAAATAAAACTTCACATTTTAAAAATGTCCCAATACAATCTGGCTCAAGGCATAGAAATATTACTCTGAACTACATTCATTTGAAAAACTCAAAACACAAAGAAAGGAACTGTACCACCTAATCAGTTCAGTACACAGACCTAACTCTGACGTCTAAAAAAAGTCACCCAAGATGAATCTCTACTTACTTAAGTTAAATGGTTTACTCAGAGACAAGTTTTGCAGGACTTGGTCAGAGAAGACCACAAGAACTGAGACCCCTAAAGATCTGGAACAATTAAGAACTGATATGCCATTCTTCAAGCCAAACTTTACCTTACCAGGTATATAAAACAACTTGATTGCACTGATATGTTTTAGATGGGTTATAATATACTGGTATCTTCAAAAACATTTTGGTTAAAAAAACCTTTATAAAGTTATGAAGGACCAACCAAAGCAAACACTGCAAGCAACACTGTCAAATCGGTAATTATTAGTTGGATTTGCTATGGTCATTCCTGGGAACCAAGGAAGCCACCAGAAAAAAAGAAATAAGAAGTTTTAATTATTAAAAATCAATCCACACTTTTATTTACTACTAATCAAACGTCTTTATGTTTCATGTCCATCTTTCTAAAAAAAAAAAAACATTTAGACTAGATTATTCAAGGCTTTCACCAGCTGCTACAAAATACCAAACTTGGTAATTAAGCCTGACAGGACTATACTTCAGCATTACAGAAGAGAATGCTGGCAACAAATCCAGTTTGTTACAATGTTCTGAGTTTTAAAATAAAATACAGTAACAAAATGAATTAAGGGGGAAGCTAGAATTAAAACCTGCTACTTTTTATACACTATGCAGCAAATCCCAGCCTTAACAATTAGGATTATCAACATTACAAGGTCAACACTTAATTGCAACACTCGATTTTCAACAGCTTATCCTTTAAGACAATCAGGCAACTAGAACAAGACTCTAGTGAAAAATT